GTACAATCATCAATAAAAAATTTATTTTTGATTGGTTATCAAAAAAATGGTTCATGACCTTTTTGTGAGTGTATATACATATATATATACAAACAATAAAAAAAATAAAAAAAAAAATGAACAAATAAATCACTGATAAGTAATAGTACCAGATAAACAGCTCCCAACCAAAATTGGAAAATTGATTAGTAAAAAAAATTTCAAACAATTTTGTATAAATTTAATTAAATTTTTCATACATTGTTTTTTTTTTTTTTTGAAAAAATAAAAAAAATGAATTTTTTACAATCATTACAATCATCATCGTCACAAAGAATTTATCAACGACCACCTTTATTTTCTACAAATAATGAAAACAACAACAATAACTGCAATAATAATAACAACACTTTCAATTCTATCTTAACCGCCACCAACTCAACTTTATCATCAACATCAACATCAACATCAACATCAACATCAACATCAATATCAACATCAACATCAACATCATCACATCATCACAATCATGATCATAGTAATAAAATTTTATCAAAGATTTTACCATCACGCAACAATAAAAATATAATAAAAATAGATTTAGTTGAACCAGTAATAATATTTCGAGGTAGTACACAAGAAGCAACCGGATATTTGTTGAGAGGTGTTTTGGAATTAAACTTGAAAAAACCGATGAAAATAGATAAACTTGAACTGGAGTTTATTGGAAAAACCAAAGCCTTTTTTCCTGAAATGGTTTTCATGAATGATTCATCATCAATAAGTAATTATCTACGTTTCTTTTTGCTGTTTTTTTTTTAAAAAAAAAATATATATATAATAATTTTTTACATTTACTATTATTTATTATTGTTAGAAATCGGTCATAAATGTGTAAAAGAAAGAAAAGAATTAATCTCACATCATTGGGAATTTATCAACAATACCTCATCATCACCATCTCCTTCAACTCCTTCAACATCATTAAGATCATATGCAACAGCAAATTCGAACAATAATAAATGTAAATACGAAAAATATAAAAAATTGTTTAGAATAAAAAATCATTTGCCAGTCATTTTAAATTTAAAAAATAACAACATTAACACTACTAAACCAAAATCAACGTCAACGTCATCACTAATAATGGCTGGAAAACATTCATTTCCATTTGAAATATATGTTCCCGGAAATTTACCAGAATCCATCAAGACCCCTAAAGGTTCAGTGAGTTATCGATTGGTGGCGAAACTGAGATGTAAAGGAAAGCTGTTAAATGTGCTGAGTAAAACGTGCAAGGTTTACATTGTACGTATTTTGCACGATCACGAGAATGATCGAGGGATTGGGATTTCAAGGGATCTGAATGAGCTATTAAGTTACGAAATCTCAATACCAAAGAAACATTTCATCATGGGACAAACGATACCAATCGAGGTCAGGTTGACACCATTAACTAAAAAAATAAAAATTCATGGTGTAAAAGTTCAATTGGTGGAGAAGATTAAGTATAAACCGAAACAACGGAAGTTTGAGGAAGTTAATGTATCAAATACTATGTCAATCAATGATCTGGGTCGGGATAGCCTACTACAAGATCATGATGAAGGAGATATTGGCAATTTGGTTTATCACAAACTCATTTCATTTCAATTACCAAAGTGTAAAGGACCAACAAATTATTCATGCAATACACCATTGATCAATGTTAGTCACGAGTTGAAATTCACTTTCATCACCACATTACCTTCACATCCATATCAACGAACAAAATTACGAATCAATCAAAAAATAAAGTTGTTGTCGTGTTTGGCTTTAGATGATTTTGTTTATTTGCCTGATTATGAGGAAAATTCGATTTATTGTCCTTGCCATCCCGAGTATCAAAGAATGGCAGTATTAATATTAGGGGAGGAAATTGATTCAAGCGGGATAATTTGTACTCGCGATCATAATCAGCATCAGCATGATAATCAACATCAGCATGATAATCAGCATCAGCATGATAATCAGCATCAGCATCAGCATCAGCATCAGCATCAGCATCAGCATCAGCATCAGCATCAGCATCAGCATCAACATCATAACAATAATTATCTTCTTTATGATAAACCTCCACCAAGTTATGAAGAAGTTATTTAATTAATAATTTGCGTAGAGGGTATAAGCATAAAGCATAGATTTACACACTTGTGAATATATACAATATAAACATACTTGCATAACTTTATTTAAAAAAAAATCCATATTTAATAAAACAAAATTTGTATATACAATAATTTAAAATAATCTATCTATCTATTTCTTACAAATTAATTAATAAACAAATAAATGAATAAATATTAATAATTGCTTCATCATCTTCTCAATTCGCAAAATTCAGTTTATCTTATGTTCTGAAACCTAATGTTGATATTTTAGTATTGCGTTATAATAAACATCTTCTTGATCAAATCTATCTGCATATAGAAATTAGAAGGAGCCTGTGTCTTTGGTAATTTTAGGTCTTTTCCTCCATTGTGGAATATACTTGCCACACATTATCATTCCAAAACTATAAATATCAGCAGGAAAAGACTTGATTCTGACCCAAGTCAAAAAATATTGATTCCTTTGTATATGGTTTATAATTAAAAAAATATGGGATAGTTCCATAAACTTCAGAACTTCGAGTAAAAGAAATTGCATCTTGCATTCAAATCTTTCGTTGTTTTAATTTGTTTTTGACAAATTGATGATCAAATCAAAAAAAAAATTTTTCCCCCCTTAAATTCATCTAAAATATACTAACCTCTAAAATTTTTTTTCTATCGAGGAAGAAGAAAATTGATTGCTTCTATTTATTATTAAGAATTTTCTATGAAGATTTGTGAACGTTGTCCATTTAGCATTTTAAAGGTCAAAGACGACATTGATTAATGAGCATTATATTATATCAGGTAATGATTAAACCGTATAAAGAATTAATAAAGGCTTTATATGCTCGTTACTTTTAACGTATGCAAAATTAAATAAGGCAAAAAGAATTCAGAACGACGAACTTTATATCAATACAGGTAATATGGTTGTTTGGTTACGAGAGCTAAAACAAAAAAATGAGACTTCCAAGCTTATACGCCAAGCATCGCATTGAAGATCCAACAAAATGAATTGGCATAAAATATATTATTAGGATTTGATCTTATAATCTATTTAAAGAATGAAAACAGTTCGGGCAGTTAGTTACACTGGCAATACTTGGAATATTTCCGTTAACGGACTGACAAAATGGCATAATAACAAATGAATCTTTTATTAAATTCGAAGCATTAAACCGGATAATATTGAGCCAAGACGGTGAAAAATATTCATGATTTAATATTACATAATAGGTTGGAGTGGTTGCAATCAACTAAATATAAAAATTTTGATAATAATAGGTATAGAATTTTTTTGGCTCCCGAAAACAATTCTTCTCGCCAAGATAGCAGGCTGTTTTGATAAAAGGATTCAGTTAGTCTATTAGTAGAAGGTTCTACTGACTTTTCATTGAGTAGCAAATCTAAATAATGCAACTTGGACGATCAAAAATAAATATTTTTTTGATCATCGGGAATATTTCAATCCTTCATTTCATTCAAGTGCGTATTCAAGCACATCTTCAAATACAAACAAGGAAATACATAGAATACAGAGGAAACGAGTGAAAATAACACATTAACATTATTATATATTATGACTTTTCGTATAAGGATATTTTTAGCAGAAAAGAACTTTCTTTTATATCATGTATCGAATAAACTTTATATGGCTTGACAATCAAACATAGATAGATCTTCCTAAAGACAGAGATACAAGGGGCATAAACGTCCTAAAAAATGTAGTTAGCTTAGTTAATATAGTTAAATTGTGATCACAGTTGTAAAATCCTTGGAATGTAGGACAGTAGAAGCACCTAATTAAAAAACGAATCAAAAAAAAAAAAAGAAAATACGGATATCATTGACTTTTGTATATTATCAAAAATATAGCTTTAACTTCTATTGAATTTCTTTGATTTAATAGAAATATTCTAATTAGTTACCACCACCAGTTTAAGGGAGCAATTGATTGGTAGTAGTAGTCTCACATGGAGCGTGATATTTGATTGATGGACGGTTTTGAAATCTACCCTCCACCACAGAAACAACAATTATAGTTCTTTTGAAAATATAAAAACGGAAGTTTCAATAATAATACAGTTTTACTATTAGGTTTGATGCTTTATTTTGTTGAGAGATCTTCTTGCTTAACTTGACATTCTTATATTTGAGACTATATTGCTCAATAGCTAGCTACCTAATATAAATTGATTTCGGTCCATCATTTAATTATCAAAAGCTTATGATTTTAAAAGAATGGCCAAAGCCTGAAAATTGTGGCTTCCATATATTTGACTTGATTCCGAATATATATATCACACCTAGGATGGTGTTATTATAATAATGATTAGCAAAAAAGAACAACAAAACAAACAGCGAACACGAAAGCAAAGAGCATGAAATTAATATATTTGTTAAAAAATTACAATTTAGCAACAAGTATACTGCAATTGCTATTATTGAAGAAACTTTTATGCAGTTTCCATCCAAAATTCCTACCCAAGAGCTCATATGAACTCACGTTACATTGTTCAATTGATATTGGACAGTGAGGGCATTTTAACTAGCGATAGTGATGCCCATCTATGATATTATTATTAGTGGACGGACATATGACAGAAACAAAAATCCATTATATATATATATATATATATATATTATACACCTTCACTGTTGTTTGGGTAATAATTTTGAAAGAAAATTAAATTAAAAAAGTTTATTCTAGAGAGAGGAAGATATGTAAAAGAAATTAAGTATTAAGTATATAAGATAAGAATGTATCAATCATTAAATAAATAAAAAATTTATACAATATTAAAAAAATCTAGTAATTAAAATAGTAAATATATAATAATATAATAATAAATAATATTTACATTGATAGCTAGCTATCTTAAATAATTATTTAAACAAATAATTTCCATTAAATGCAGGAGCAAATTGATTGTCATTAGAATAGTTATTAAAATTATTATTACCATAATATTTACTAATGTAATTATTAATTTTAATGTCATTCTCACTATTATCATAATAATCATTATACCTGACATTAATATCATCAATGTTGTTATTACCATCTTCTAATTGTTGAACGTATTTAGATAAGGATTTACTTGATAAACTATTAAATCTTTGAATAGAACTAACGTTACTATTAGTATTCTTGCTTTTGGTTTTACCGTTGTTCTTGCTATTATTATCATTAGAGGCGAGGGGAGATGGATTACGAGAAAAAGGAAGTCTTATGATTGATCTTGATTCTTTTTTGATAGCTTTATCAGTCGATTCAAGTGGTTTAGATTTTTTTGTGGAGAAATGCTTAGAAGGAGAAGACATCCATTCGCCTATTTTAGTAACGATCACCTGAAATGATGGTCTATTAGTTGGTTCCAACTCCCAACATTTTTTCATCAGGTCTATGTAATCCTTTGGTATGTTTTTATTGTTTGACAAAGCTTCGAAATGTTTGCCATTTATAATGTCATTAACCAAATTGCCATCATCGTTATAATTTAAAAATGGGGTTTGGCCAGTTGCCAACTCCCACATAATCAATCCAAAACTATAAACATCCGAATTCTTTGTATATTGACCATTGGTGAATACTTCAGGTGCAACGTACTGTATCACGCCAAATATTTCCTTATTAAATTTCAAATCATAAAACAACGACAAATCCACCAAGGCTCTTGTTTCAACCAATTTCTTTTTACATGGCGACGGTTTGGTCGATAGTGCTAATGATGATCTTGATGATGATGCGGAAGAGGATAAATATGGAAACGAATCTCTATTTTTCTTTAGTAAAATGTTGCCTGGATGTAAGTCACTATGTATATAATCTTTATTGTGCAACAATAGCATTGCTTTTGCTACATCTCTTAAGATAGAGATTTTGTCAATCCACGTCAAATTGGAATAATTTGCATTCAAATATCCTCTCAGATCACCTTCTTCTGCATACTCAAATACCAGCATATAGCCTTCTGTTGGATGTAAAGTAAAACCCAGGCATTTGATTATTGAACTATCTTTCGATGAAGCATACAAATATACCGAGACCTAGATTAATCATGGAAAGAAATTTAAAGTTAAAAAAAAATTTTTTTAAGATTGAAATAAAAATATAATCTGGTCAATTAATTAATTATTCATACCTGCTCTTTTAAAAATTCAGGATTAGAAATTTGATCGTTATGGGGACGTTTCAATACAACATCTCGGACACGATCATTTTCATAATCATCCCAAACAGCATAATAAACAGCCGAAAATCCACCGTTAGCCAAATACTTTGTTTTTATAAAATCATCGAACGGAATCCAAACCAAATAATTTGCCGAATTGATACAATTCAATTGACTGGATTGTATAAAATTATCAATATGTTGGTTCTTGCTTGACCAATTATCGAAGTTCTTTTTAAATTTGCTTCTTTGACACTCTAAACACCAATTCTTTTCCGTGAATTTCTCGCCGCATACCGAGCATATTCCTGACTTGAATTTGTTTATAAATTTTTCACCGTTTGATGAACTTTTCTATTTTGTGGAAAGGATATATAGAATATAGGGAGAAGAGAGGAAGGGAAAGGAGGTTAGTCAATTTTTATAAAAGAGAAAATAAAGAATACTAGAAAGTAACATACCTTTGATTTATGTTTATAATAACCTTTAAGTGTGGTAGAAAGTTTATTCATGTTGTGGATAGTTTTTATTTATGATAATAATAATGATAATAATAATGTTAAATAAATAATAAATTATTGTAAATAATGACAATGATAAATAATGAGAAAAAAATGAAATTTTTTTCGTATAATTTAAAATTGATTTGAAAAGATTTTGCTCTATTTATTTATAAATTATTTTCTCTATTCATTGTATTAATATGGTAATTTTTTTTTGTGTAATTTTTCTTTGTAGCATATTCACTCTCCACTTACTTTCTCGTCATTTTGTTGTGATATGTTCGATATGGTAAGTAATAAATATAAAAGAATGCTTATTATTTACATCATGTAATAATCAATTGTGATTGATAAAATAAAAAATAAATAAAAATGTAGTGTAAATGTTAAACCAATTTCAGGTTTTATTTTTATATATATAAATTGTATTTATAAAATAAATTACTATTACTATCACTATTATTATGGAATTCAAACAAACGAGTGAACAAATATGCAGTAACAGAAACTAGGGTTCGATTTGAACGCCACGATGGTTTTATCCATGATTTTTAATTTATAAAAAATGAATAACTTCAATAACAACGAATTTGTGATGAAATAGTTTTTTTATTAAAACAAATTAATGTAATCTGTTTTCAAGTGACCTACTACAAAACTTCCACTATGACATTACAAGTAGCTTGCCAGTTTCTCTGAAAGCATAAGATGGCTCAAAAGCTTTTCAGCATTAACAGTAGCTAAAATGACCGGAAAACATTACCATCGCTACTATATATAACATTAAGGTTTAAAATTATGTAACCTTTTACATTAGATAAAGAAACACATTTTATTCCACCAAAGAAACCCATAAAAAAACAACAACTGGAGAGCGGATTACGATCAAGTATTTCTAGAACACTGACTGCGAACAATAAATCTTTGCTAATAATATTTTACATGCAGCAACAATAATAAAATTAATTTCTTTTTTTTTTTTTTTCCAAAAAGCGATATCATTAATAAATTAATACAATTCAATGTGTGATGATAATTCGTCCATGTATTTATTTTCTCCTGGGATTGATTTATTAGTATGCAGAATATAACCATCGTTATGGAATGGCAGCACTATAGCAGTAAAACTGGACACTAAAATTTTGAACCCTATGTTCGTTTGTTATAATGTACCCTATATACATGTATATAATAATAAATATCATTGTAATTTTATTTGTCCTAAAATAGTAACTATAATAATTATATAAACATTCTGTCCAACATTAATATTAATTCATTGTAAAATTTTTTTTTTCCAATTGTTTTTCAAACTTCATCAGACCTTGGGAGTTTGAAATGAAAATAATCTTCAAAGAATGTGAATTGATGTTAACGATAATTTTACTTTGTTCTCATAAGCATGTGAGAGAGAAATTCCAATTGAAGAAAGTTGTTGTTCTTCTTAGAATAAAGAAAGTTTGAAAAAAAAATCATAAAAATTTATGTGCGTAGAATGACAAAATAAGCCTCATAATATTTATTAATAAAATTCCCTTACATATCGATTGTAACGCGCGAACACTACCGCCATAAAAAATTACTAATTCAAAAAATTTTAAATTTTTCAAAAAGCAATAGCATGATGCAACACTCACTCATTCATACAAAAAACTCCTTGTACGATTTATTAATATTTAATATTTAATCAATGGTAAAATTAAATATTTTCCTAAATCGTTGATAGAGATATTAGTATTAGTACTAGCGTTTAAATAATTTGTGTTAGATTGAATTTTTAAGTTGTTGATAAAATTAAAAATCCTTTGAGTTGATTTCGATTGTTCAATAGTTCATACAAAAAAAATATTTAATAATTATGCGTAACGCCTATACAAATATTCTAATGTTGGAATAGGACCGGGAAAACTCTGTTTGAAAGCGCCGCGCCTCACTATTATTCCGAATTACAAAAGGGAATTCAATGTCACATTGAACCATTCACTCACTAACACATTTTTGGTTAGTTGGCTTTAAAACAGAAAAAAATACACCAATCACCTTCGAAATCTATGTTTGGTGCGTTTCCATACACAGAATAGAGTTTTGACGGATTAGCATGTTGTTATGATAATTACATACTTGAATATTTTTTTTTCTAATATATACATAATAATAAATAATGTTGTAATGGTTACACAATAGAATGTGACTTTAGTATTATTAATCTTAGATTTTGATTTTGAGAGGCTAGTATTTTTGTATACTATTATGCAAATTTAGCAAAGATTGAGTTCATAATGGGCTAAAATTTCAAATTGTGCTTATTATACAAAACGACGAAAATCTTGAATTACTGATCGTAATTACCAAACAATGAAAGTTAAAAATTGGGCGCTCAAAAAAATTTAATTATAAAATTTTCGTTAAAAATAAAAATAAAAATAAAAATAAATGAATGTGAAAAAGATAAACACCAACAAGTGATAGAGTAGGTTTCAAGCTTTTATTTGATCTATTTTATGTCTGCACATAAAAAATTGGTAGACTAGATAAATATAGAACTTCAAAAAAAAATCTCTATATTAATTTTATATAAGAATCAATCGATCCGTGTAAATTTTAGCCACTCGATATTTTCCTACAAACCACCGTTAATTTTTAGTTACGTCAACCTTACATACACTTTCTGCTATAAATAGCTGACCGCTACTGAGATCTTCCTGGTTCCAAAAAGCCAGTTCTCCTCAGAAAAAGGTTTCTACTCGAATTATTTGTTATTAATTTTAAGTATTCAAATTACAACAAAAAGTTATTCGAATGAAACAAACGAAACAGATAATTCGAATAAAATCATCAGTAATTGAAATCTTGTTAACTAAAATAATCAATTTTGTTGATATTTATGCGCCAGATGAAGATATTGAAATTGATAAGTGAGGTTAGTCGTCGATATTTACAACTTTCCTGAAGCGGGAAAACATCCATTCCCCGTCGAAAACTTTTTTCCAAATCAATAACTTCTAAGGATCAAATCTAAATATTGGCTTACTAGAAGTGTTGTCATTTATTAAATTCTTTGCATATAAATTAAATAATTCAACAAACTAAATAAATAAAGATTCCAAATATTCCAAACGAATAAACCAATAACCTCAAAATGAGTAAAGTGAAATTGGTAATTCAAATAAGATTGACATTGTATTACAAACGGAAGACATCCTCATTAGGTAAATAAACAAACAATGGCTCTTTTCTCTAGGAACAATGTTTATCAAGATAATCTTGGGCATCAATAATATTCCTTTTTTTTTTTTTTTCCTGGATAAAGCCAAGGGGTTATCATGGACATTTCGCGCTCAACTACATAAAAAGAAAAATTCCGGAAAAGATTCGGAGTTTTCCTGATCACAAAATAATATAATAATAAATGACAATAATTTGTAAATAAAATATACGGAAAATTGCTTTTTCCAGATCAACATTATATTAATATTAAAATACATGCGGAAAAAAGCAATTTTCCGCATGTTTTATTTGTTTTATGTGTATTGGCATGGAAATACACTCGAAAAATCGGAGAATGCAAATTTCCTTCCGTATGCTGTTATTATTATTGTTATGATTTACATTGATTTCATTGATTTACAAATTTAGTATTACGTATTTAGTGTTTCAGAAATTTTTTTATGAATTCTTCAGCTGATTTGTACTAATAATTTTGCTCCCATTTGACTTTGCAAATGCTCATTTTATTTTCTCAATGAATTTTTTAGCCCTTTCATTTTTATGAACTTGTTAATGTTGATTGTTGCGCTACCCCAAAATTTTTATGCGGATCTTGGTTTTGAAGATTCCAAATTTGTAAAGATCTGTGATTTTGTCACGAGAAACTTCGACTCTCATTAAAAAAATTAGAAATGTAATTAAAAGATGGATAGATTATTTGTACAATTGATTTGAAATTTTAAAGGGGCTATTACGTGAATGGTTTCCGAGTCAAAGAGTACTAGATTGGACAATTACATCTAATTGATGATCATAAATTGTATTTTCAGGACTCTATAAAACATTTTTTCATTTACATAATCATGAATAGGTGAAAACGGGATACTGTATTATAATTAACAATTTGCATTTTTCTTTAAGAAAATTTTGATTCTTCTTTTAAGTAGTCAGCAAAGAAAAAATAAAATAAAACAATCAAGGTATAAATATGATTCTTGTGGCATGATTATTTCAGTGTTTTTCAGCGTTATTAAAAAGTCAAGTGGAAAACTCCCATTTTGTAGACTTGAAGAAATCTGTGCCTATTTGTTATTCAACAAATAAATATATGTTTTTATTAAGCTGTTGGAAAATGATATAATATCAATGTGTTGGATTTTATTAATAAAGTATTTTCACCGGTATGAATTAAACAATGTGCATTCATAATATATAAATAATTATACAAAATAATAATAAATAAAAATAAAATGAGCTTTAGTCATCAAATTAGCATTAAATTCTAATTCTGGTAACAAATATATTTCTATTTCTTCTCCAACAATGCAATGTTAGTATATATTCAACCATTTAAACAGCTCAACTTACCCAATGTAATAATTATTAATGCATCACTCATTTTTATGCATACTTTTAAATCATGAATTTGGTTTTTTCAAATTGCAATTCCATACTTTAAATTTGATACATGTATGTTATCAAGATTAGTTCAGTTTTGACTCAATTCCCAAAATTCAATTTTTAATTGCGTCAAACTCAATCATCTATATTGCTTTCATATGACTCAATTAACCGCGTCAAAAAGTCACATATTTCCATATTAATAGTGCTAGTACCTATTTCAGTATGTAAAACCCCTGTAAAAATTTACTCTGTGTTTTTCCATTTATATTAATAAATTAAAATATACATTTCCATGATTTTTCCATAAATGTATTATATTAATGGAGTCTGTGGTTCCATGTTTCATAAAAAATAAAGATTTCATCGATATGCACTTAATTAATAAAATGGACAAAGTTCGGATAAATGACTGAGCATTTACTGAATAAATTTAATTGATAAAAGTTCGGATGTATTTACTGAATGAATTTAATTAATAAAATGGATAAATAAATAAATTTTCAAATGGTCCACTAAAGATGCCCCCTCAATTAATCGAGTCTAGTTGCAGCACATGAAGTTTGAATTGCGGTTGCAGTTGTGGCATATGAAAATTTAATTGCAGCTAATCGCGGTTCCCATCTTTAAATTTACATGATAAATGGTGAATTTTTGAAAGATTATGGATTAGTAATGTACATCACCCTTGTGATTTGACAATTTTGAGTTGATCACCAGTCCATGTTTTCCATATTCCGAACAGAATTTGTAATTGACTTGAAAGTAATGTACAGTATCAAGACTAAACTAGAAAATTTTTTAAAATTGAAAGCATAAATAAATAGAAATCTTACTACAGGCTGATTTGCATGTTTCTAAAAAAAAATTAAAAATTAATGATGATATATAATAATAACTAATTTGATTGTCGCGTAACAATTCTTTCTGATCGTACACACCAGATCTAAAAAAATGATTAATAATTAATAGTGTCATAATCAGTAATAAATAAAATATGGTCGAGTAACAATTCTTTCTGATCTTACACCACCGGATCTAAAAAAAGTGATTAATAATTAAAGACGATATTAGTATGAATTTGGATAATTATCTTTAATCAAGCAAAAGTTAAAAATCACAGTAAGTGAATTTTTGTTATTGTTTTTAGAGAATTGCTATTTCTCACCGGTGGTGATTGTCACCACCTAAGGAATTAAATTTGCGTGGGGCGGAGTTAGGGTTGGGGTTAATCATAAATTGTATAATTCCTTAGGTGGTGACAATCACCACCGGTGAGAAATAGCAATTCCTTTGTTTTTATTATGATATACGAAAAAACATCAAGTTGCGTGGGGAGAACACAACGTCTATTTTCTATTTTTTGGTTTGACACGATGAGAAATTATCTATCATTTTTGTTAGAATCTATTATTTCATTGATATTTATTTTAATAGTTGTTATCAGTAACGCCAACTATGGCTTTATCACTTGTTTAATAACATAAAAACACTGAGACTAGTCACGCTTCCTCTCAGGAGCATCCGAACAAAAGTAGCTTTTTTTTTTTACTTTTAAGTTCAATCCAAGCTTTGATTGCACTTATAGTTCTAGAATCCAATTTTGTTGTCGCTGCATTGTCCGCCGGTTTTCCTCCGATAACTTTCATTTTTTTTGCATTTTTGAGGTCGTTTTCAACCTCTTTAAATATGTTAGATTTCGTGTCTTGTTAAAAAGTATCTTGAATTTTCGCACAACTAATGCAGAACGGGATCTTAATACGATGAACACGTTGAAGTTGATTAGAAAAGGCAAAAACTTTTTAGAGCTTGATCATCACATAGTTGATATGGATAATGGATTAATGAAATATCTATCTCGAGAATTATTCAAAAAGCACTTAAAGTGTCTTTGCTACCTTTTCATTGAATCTCTTCATACAGCAAATTTTATCTTTTCAGAAAGTTCATCAATTTTTAGAGCTAATACGTTTTTGCTCATCCTTCAATGATTCAATCACGATATCATTTTTCCGTTTAAAATTCACAAAGCAAAATATACGACCACAATGATTATGTATATTGGGAATTTCCTTCAGTAGGCTGAGGTGTGTTTACGAGATAATTTTTTGATGGTGATTTCCCAAGAAAAGATTTATGTCATCCATCTGTAAGCAAAAATTGATTGATGCAAATGCATAAATTCGTTAAAAAAGGGACTATATGGGAAGAAACGGTCAATGTGTCAATATTATTTGATATATAACCTTTGATTCAACAAATATAGAAATGGTCTTTAATGTGTTTATTAATTTTATTGATTGATTTATTTAAATGTAATAGTTATGAAATAGGAACAGAATAATTAAGCGGTTTTGAGCTGTTTTTCAGAATTATCCTTATTGTGTATCAATAGTCATTTTTTTTCATTAGGCGCATTTACCTAATAAGTAAGGACCTGGAACTTTGATATATCTCACACACGCATAGGTTCTGATTCTCACCTCTTTTTATTCGGAAAAAACAAGAAAAGGCCCAACGATCATATAATAATACATGACGTTAAATTAGGACATTCTGTGTTCCTCGTAATATGATTTTGCTACGGATGACATATTATTATTGATGGCGTGTATTATCAGCATCTGATATATCTCATCAATTCCTTTTGCAAATCTTTCTGGTTTAGAGATATTAGAAGCGGAGAGATTTTCTATGAGGTTTACTGTAGCTTTTTATGGCATAAGGCAAGTAAAACGTCCAACTCTTTAGACACGAATAATCTGAGATTTCTGTGTATCCTGAAGCCATCACACATTAATCTGCGATAACGTTGCTTTATTTAGATTAATCCACTGGCCATTAATTAGATTCTTGGTCGGACATTTTTTGATTGCTATATGAGGGAATGCAAATGTCCAGTTAATATTTTTAAACCGAATTTTTGTAACATTTGTTGTAGATGATGTAAAAAAAAATCTCTTGCGGGAAAGATCTTAAAACTACCAAAATTATTTTATTTTCCAGACGTAAAAAGATATTGCGAAAGGAAAATATGGCAAAAGGAAGAAAATATAATTAATTAATAAACTTATGTGCTCTTAAATTTATCATTTAAGATTCTTTATTGAAATGTCAGATGATGAGCCAGCTTCAATTTGGAAACGCTAACTCAAGTGTTGAAGACGATTTATCTCCCTCTCAACTAGAAGGACCAGCATCTATATTTACTGTTTCAACGTGGAGAAACGCCAGGGCTTGCAGCTCATTCAGCAAATCACTGTATTGGGTTTCATTTTCTTCAGAACAGAAAGTGATTATTTTTATGATTATCATGAAAAATTATTCATTCGTCAAAAAATTGTCTCTTTTCATTTCGTACTGCAAATATTGAAAGTTTATTGTGTGATTTTTGTAAATTCATTAAAAACCATATATATTTTTGATAGCAATAATTTTTAATCTTGTGAAGCTAAGAAAAATTACTTTGTTTATCCAGTATATTACAAAATTACATCGTTATTAGAGATATAATTGGCATTCAATATCAAGCATTAGACTTTAAAACTTGGAAAATAGATAATATTCACATTCGCATAATTTACTTATATTCTGAAATTTTAATTTGCCTGCCTGTCCAAGGTTGAATTTTAAATTGAAATAAATAAAAATAATTTACAACCCAAAAACCAAAATAAATAAATAGCGGTTATTTTGTTATTTCCTTAAGTTAGTTAATCAAATATTTTCTATTGTATCATCGCTGTTACCTTTAAACGTATCAATCTTAAATTCACTTTCTACTCGATATAATAACTTCTGTTATTACTAATAACCAACGCAAGATCTTTTAGATTAAAAAATCGAGTTTTCCTCAGAGTTCCTATTATTATCAGATAGTCAATTAATTCTCTATTTTCTCTAGGAAGAGTGGGCAAGATTTGGCAAGATAATCTTGGGTATTATTAATCTTATTTTTTTTTTGTTGATAAGTAAAGAAGATAGGACACCCACTTGCTCTTTGCAAGTATTCTTCCAGTAATTTCTTTACCAAATCAATCTTTGTAATCTTGTATTTCTAGGAATACAAAAAATATTAGAAGAAAAATAAATAAAATTATACTTTGGGCATTATTTTGGACAAATAGTATCTTTGAATTCATCTCTGTGATATATGAGCAAACAAATATTATTGCAAAGGTATGATCTTGACGCACTTAAGATTCATAGAATGGGATAATAATATTAAGGTTTTACCAAGTTTCAATAGCTTAAACTCATTATTATTATTTCCCTTGAAAGGGTCCACAGTATTTGATGGACAATTCCTGCACTTTTGTACAAATTAATTCAAAAATATTTATTTAATTTTTTTTAAAAACTTTTATTATTGCCAATAATAATAATAAATCAAGTAAAAAAATAACAATATCTATTTAATTTGATTAAATAAATAAATTATTATTCATAAATCACACATAGATGATTATAAAATTTAATTCAATTGACCAACCTATTACACTTTAATTTTAATAAAATTAAGCTTCTTGCTGTGGACGAGGTGGGCGATCACCACCGCCACCTCTTCCTCTTCCAGCACCACCACGAGGACGTTCGGTCAAAGTATTTAATGCAACAGGTACAGCAACTTCTACTCTAGGTAAATTCTCAAAATTTAAAAATTTAAGAAGCTCCTAGTTAATTGAATTTATAAAAAAAAAAAAATAATGAATCCACATATTTACATATCATGTTATATTATGTTTATGTAATTAATTTTCAACATATGAAAAATTTTTTACCTTTGTATCAGGATCAATTTCTATTGGATCAATATCTAACGCAGAAACCTCTGGGACATAATTATCTTTTCTTTCACGTTCCTCCTCTTGTAATTTGAATGAAATACCACGAACAGGTCCACGTTGGATACGTTTCATTAAATGTGTTGTAAATCCAGCTATTTTATTACGAAGTCTCTTAGATCTAAGTCATAAATATAATATAGAAAAAGTTCATATTAATGAAAAATTTTCTTGCTTGTTTTTGACAAAGAACAAAACTTACGCAATTATTGCAACTTCGTGACATATCTAATTATAATTTAAAGAAGCAAAAATATATCAATAAATATTATTCTTTAATAATTACGATTCCTAAAAGTATATTTACTTTTTTATTTGTTTGAAAATCAAGAGTAAGTCTAGGATAATATTTCTCAATGATAACTCGAGATGCCTGTTAATTATTATTGTAATTAGTTAGTTGTTGAAAGAAAAATATAATAATTTGTTATATTTTCTTTGATGAATCGATCAATTAATTAATTTACCTTCTTGACGGTTTTTGTACGAACTCTACCCTATATAATAAAAAATAATAATTCATTAATTTTGTTTTTCATTCTTTGCAGAGAGCATTCAAACATTTTAAGAGATTAGCTTACCATATTTATTTTATTTTTATAATAAAAAAGAATCAAAAAAAATTGAAAAATTGAAAAATTTTTTTTTAATTTCAATCCAAATCAGGCGATGTTCGTGTAACTTCACAATCTAAAAAAATTCTCACTGCCGCGCGTAATTCCTCAACGGAAATTGTCTCTTCTGGTTTAAAACACAATGAATCAATAAATTAATTTTTTTTAATTTTAATCCTCAATCATTTAAAAAAGTTTTCTTTAGCCTTAAAAGTCAACATCGCGCAATTTTTTTTAACAATGTTTTAGCCATACTGATGCAAGACAAAGCTTTCTGTACTCTGTTCATTCTGAGGCAATGGATGGAGTCTAGAAATCTTGAACTTTGAAATTAAATTATTAAAGCTAAAAGATTGCTTACAATCCATTTGAAAAGTCTTGATCAACTCTACAACTTTGAGCTATGCCACAAATATCTAAGGTTTTATAGATAAAAGATTCAATGTACGAAAAATTAATTTTCCCAAAGGAAACTAAGAATAAAGAAACGTTAAAAAGGGAAATACCAGGGTCTACTAAACAATGCACAGGCTATTCAATTAATTGAAGGAAAGAAACTGCACGAGTTCAAAATCCAAACAAAGAAATGTCGTAAAACCAGCCAAAAGTGATATATAGCTATTGGAGATATTATTGTTATTTTTGCTGGTGAATAAGAAATACAAAAAACACGTGAGATGATTACATTATTTAGTATTAGTCATCGCGTATATTACTTGCAAACTTGGTAGATGTTTAAGTAATACTTTATCAATTTATCAAAAGAAAAAAGGAGCAAATATTATGTTAACTTATCTTACTGATAGATTTAAAGCATAATCTTTTTATGTTAACACCTTTGTTATAACATAACCAATACAATTTTTCGTAAAGATCCTGAATTAGGTCATTACAATTTTTAAACTCATTTTCTTTTTCTGCAAGAGAAATAGCTTTACCTACAAATCAAACTCCAGTTTATGGGTTATTAATACTGCCATACAATCAGGTGGATTTGCTTTGCCTTTTAATTTTCTTGCTTTACTTCTTTAAGGCTTGTTTAGGCCGTTAACCTCTATGCTTTTCGGGTTCATGCAATAATAATCTTTATATAATATAATCCAATTAATTCAATCTTTTCTTAAGCTTTTCTATAAAAATAGCATGGTCTTTATTAGTTGAATGAAATCCAGAAAAGATCAAACGATCAATGTTCTTTACTAGATGACCCAAGGTATGTAAAGAATTCGCTAGACTAATAATAACTTTGATCTGATTGTTGAGTTAAAATGGCTTGAACTTCTGAAATTATAGATCCCTGAATTTTCCCTTGATTTATGATTTGCTAAGCATGCTGATAAAGATTCGATGGTCTTTTCTCACGATTCGTTGATTCTTTGTTTTATTATTGTGATTTATCTAAATTTAGGTTCACATTTACATCTAATTCCTGTTTATATAACAAACTAGAACCAAGACCGTAGTATCAGAATGAGGATTCGGCTAAAGCGTAAAGCTTGAAGCTAAAAGCTAAAATTTCATATAAATAAATATTTGTGTAATTAATTCTAAACAAGTTTACGTGATGTATTACATAAATCAAATATGTAATATTATTATTAATATTAATGATATTTCTTTTGAGTCATTCCGGCGCAAAGAATTCGACTTTATATATTTAGCTACCTCTACATAGATCTGACTTAAGCCTTTTGGAAGAAGGAATGTTGCTATGCTAGTTGGTCGTTTAATGGCATATTTGACATATCTCATTTTAATTAGTGTATGTTGAAAGAAAGGTATCATCAATGGGTTGTAAAGAATGACCTTTGAATCTGAAGGTACAAAATATAGTTTGTAATTTGATGATTCATGATAATCAAAGGAAATTTAAGTATTTTTTTTCAACTTTGGTAACAAGACAAAATAGGTCAATTAATTCAGCTAATCGTTGGTTAATAAATTAGCTAGGCATCTCAAAAACCTTTTCGTAATGATAAAATTTACTTTATTAATCTTGATTTCTATATACAAGCCAAATTGATTTCTCAACACACAAATAAATCGTGGTGCATGTAATTTTTTTTGGGGGGGGGTATTAATATTTTGTAAAGATGAATTCTCTGCTAATTTGATTACAAAAAAAACTTTTTTTATCCTCTTAGCCTTCCCTTTTATTACTGTTTGTATGCGAAATTGTTGAAATTTTAGGTAGGTGTTTTAGATATGAAATTCTGATTGGCTAATTTCGAATCCATTTTCACGTACAACATTACCAAAGTAAAAATAAAAAAAAAAGAATTTTTACTTACTTCAATACCTTTTATGAACGATATGTAATAATTGATAGATCTACCACAGGGTCCATCACACACAGAGTCGGTGATTCCGAACGTTTAATTATGAAAGTTCAAAATATTATAAAAATAAAATTGTAGGCAGACTTCCAATAGAATGTGATGAAATAAACGTAATGTAATTTTATCTTTAATTTTTGTGTTAATATATTTATATTAAAGTAACCATTTACCCACCATCTTTTCAATGTCACTATCATTCAACATATCCAACATACAATTTTATAACTTATCAATATATGATCTTCCTATTTCATCACTATTGGATGTTTTTTTCATCAGCTAATCGATTAGAAAGATAATAAAAGCATCTTTTCCTTAAGAAAAAAATATTACACAATGTCTTGGGCAAATTTAAAGCCATTTGCAAGTTTAAGCATAGTCAAAAATTCATGAATATGAAGCAGTCTTGAAAAGAGATGTGATTGTTTCAGTGGTTGGGGAAATTGGAAATTATCAGGATAAGTTGATTTTCTTGTATGGTGTATCAAGCGGAATGGAGCAAATAGATATGATGAAAAAATGGTTGCTAATGAGAAGCAGCGTAAAAGATTTGGAGACATTAAATCAATAGTCAATGAATCCAAAGGCTCTTCTGCTGCAAATAAGAATCTAAAAATTTAAATATCAAATTATACTTCTTTCCACAAATTTTTTAAAAAATCAAGAAACTCTGGAATCAAGAGCAGAATTGCCGAAATCATTATTGAGTGGTAATAATTTACACATACTGATGATTTTTCTTTGTTGTTTTTTTTTAATTTAGATATAATGAACATATAGACAAAATCACTGATGATGATTAACAATTAACTGTTGGTTGTGAAGAGACTGGTACCAATGATGAAGAAGTGGTGATGATATTCCCCAACAAGTAGATTAGTAGCCTCTTTAGTTATACATGTAATGTACACAATATATGTTCACATCTTGATGTTAAAAGTGATAGGAAAAAATATTTGAATAATAATTTCATACGCTTAGGGATTGATAATTTGCTATCCATTACATAATAGTGTGAAAACATCAACTGCGGACCAAAGTATGTCTTATTTTTTTTTTAATTAATAGTTGATATGAGAGAAAAATGCATTCTTAATGAAAATATTATTATTACATCATTATCTTCAGGTAGAAAATGTTCGAGTGAGCAAAACAAAAATATTTTGGTTTAACTATACAATAAATATTATTAGTTTGCTCTCTGATTTTGGTGAAACAGCAAAATCCTTTTTTAATTGTGCGCAGCAACTGTCAATAAGAAAATAACTTGTTAGATAAATAAATACTGTACAACGAACAAAAATTATTTTCTGTCTCAAAAAAAAAATCATGTTTAATTTGCAATTTGAACTTCTAACTGAAATATTCAAATACATTGAAGATGACTATAAAACATTACATTCTTGTATCCTTGTCAACAAACAATGGCACAATATTAATATTCCGAGTTTATGGAGAAATCCATGTGTTTCTCATAACAGCATCAAAATATTAATTAATTGTATGTTAGAAGAAGATAAGGATTTTTTGACCAGAAATTACATTGAATTAACTTTTAAACTATTGGAGAAACCACCATTACACAATTATGGCAGATTTAGTACTAAACTTTGTTTTTCAAATTATTTTGATTTTGCGACTCAGGGATTTTATCTTGCACAGGAAGTTTTACAAAACAGACTTGTAAAATTTGTTTTAGATCATTCAGCAAGGATTAGAGAACTTAGTACTACCTGTATAGATTGTAATTTGTTAATTAATTACCATAGGTTTGATAATATTTTTCAGGATCTTTATGAATTAGATTGTTTTGGTACTGATAGCAGTGAATTTTTTGATAAATTAATAAAAGTTTGTAAAAACATTCAATCATTAAAAATACATTACAATAGCAATGATAAATATATATATAAATTGGCACAACTAATTAAAGCACAAAAACAAATTAAATATTTAGTTATTGAATCAGCAAAGGATCAAATTTTACCAGATGAATTAAAAAAAGCAATATTAACACATTCACAATCAATAGCTTCTTATGAATCTGTTCACGGAGGAAATAATTTGAACAGTTCATTAATACCAACATTTAAAAATTTAAAAACTTTAGCATTAACTATTAGTTATGAATTAGTAAACTACTGGAAAATTATTTCACTACCAAATCTTGAATCTTTGAGGGTGTGTGTTATATATCCATATCGACAACCATACCTAGCATACTTGTCTTATTTTATTAATATTAATGGAAAAACTCTTAAAAATCTGGATGTTAGTAGTAGTAATTTTGATAGCAAAATTTATCAGAGGTTACTTAGATCAATTGCACGATCTTGTAAAAATTTAGAAAATTTATCAACAATTTATTATGATGAATTAAATCAGGAATTGATGGAAGTACTCAATAGTTGTATGAAGTTAAAAAGTATCAAGTTTGATACAGAATTTATTAATTTTTATGATAGATTTGATGCTGGCAAAATGTTAACAATATTAAATCAAACACTACCAAAAAAATTGGAATCAGTAATTTTTACTTGTGAGGTTTCAAATATCAATGACTATTCATTAGCTACTCTAATGAAGAATTGGAAAGGACCCAAACCTTTAACAATAAAACTTCCTATTTAT